ATGGAAGCAATCGAGGCCGAAGTTAAGAAGCTTATTGACTCGGGCTTCGTTCGGGAAGAGTAGCATCCGGAGTGGCTTGCCAATATTGTCCCAGTCCTTAAGAAGAACGGAAAGGTCAGGATTTGTATCGACTTTCGAGACCTCAACACGGCATGCCCAAAAGACAATTTTCCCCTTCCTATCACGGATGTCATCATCGACAATACGTGCGGGTTCGAGAGGATGTCTTTCATGGATGGTTTCTCTGGTTATAATCAAATAAAGATGCATCCAGATGACGAAAAGCATACCGCGTTTAGAACACCCCTTGGCGTTTTCTGCTACACGGTCATGCCCTTCGGCTTAAAGAATGCAGGTGCCACATATCAGAGAGCTATGTCAAAGATTTTTCAGGAACATCTCTGGAAGACTGTCGAATGCTACGTGGATGATTTGGTTGTGAAAAGTCGTGATAAGAAGGATCACATTAAAGACTTGAAGACCATGTTCGACCTGATGCGAGCCCATCAATTGAAAATGAATCCTACCAAGTCTTTCCTCGGAATGTCCAGTGGTAAATTCCTGGGATTTGTCGTCACTACCAAAGGTATTCACATCGATCCTGATAAGGTAAAGGCAATTAATGAATTGCAACCTCCAAGAAATCTCAAGGAGCTCAGAGGATTACAAGGGTGGTTAGCTTATATCCGTCGGTTCATCTCGAACCTCTCAGGAAAATGCCAACCATTCTCCAAGCTCACAAAGAAGGGCGTATCATTCGTGTGGGATGACGCTTGTCAAAAGGCATTCGAGAGTATTAAAGAATATCTCTCAAAACCTCCTATACTCGTCGCACCGAAATCGGGCAAACCGTTCTTGATTTATGTCAAGGCGACGAGCCACTCATTAAGTGCATTACTTGCACAAGATGACGATAACGGTCACGAGCAGGCAGTATATTATTTAAGCCGAACCATGGTAGGCGCTGAATCTCGATATCCCATGATCGAGAGAGAGTGCCTCGCCTTGGTGTTCGCTATTCAGAAGATGCGGCATTATCTGGTTGGACAGACCATTTATGTTATCTCTAAGGTTAACCCAGTCCGAATATTCATGACTCAACTAGCTTCCATGAATTGGCGGTTAGCGAAATGGGCTTTACTCTTTTCCCAATACGACTTACATTTTAAACAACAGAAGTCGGTAAAAGGACAAGCCATCTGTGATCTCGTGGCAGCTAATCCAACTACGGATACCGCTGAGATATATGACGATCTACCCGATGAAACCCACGAAGTAAACGCAACTTCGCACCAGCAAGTGTGGCGTTTATACTTTGACGGCGCTTCATGAGCAACTAATGTAGCAAGTGCTCCTGGAAGTTCTAAGATTTCTCCCGGAGTCGGAGTTGTCTTAGTTTTCCCAGGAAAGCACGTGATGCCTCGAGCTTACTCGTTGACCGAACCGTACTCAAATAATGTAGCCGAATATAATGCATTACTCATAGGACTCAGTTTCGCTAAAGAACTGGGGGTGGAGTATCTCGAAGCCTTCGACGATTCTCAACTGATAGTTAAACAAGTTCAGGGAGAGTACGAGGTCCGAAGCCAAGATTTAATACCATACCATAAGATGGTAGTGGAGATGGCAGAATCATTCGAAGGATTCTTCATCGAACATATTCCACGGCTACAGAATACCTACGCAGACGCGTTAGCAGCATTAGCCGTATCACTGGCGCAACCTCCTGAAACAGAGCAGTTTGTTACAGTGAGGACTCACCAACTCTTACTGCCGATCTACAATGAAGACAGCGAAGAAGAAGATAGCAAGGAAGCACACTCAACTCAAGTTGAGTTTGAACCCCGAGATTGGCGTTTCCCCATCGTTGACTACGTCTTGCATGGAATCCTACCAGAGGACATGAATGAAAGAGAGTCAATCCGACGAAGGACACCAAGATTCTACTATAGTACGGAGAATCGAACGCTATACCGCAGGGGGTACGATGGATTGCTGGCACGCTGCTTATCGACTAAAGAAGCTGAAGAAGTTCTTAGAGAGGCACATGAAGGAGAGTGTGGTGCACACCAACCTGGTCCCAAACTTTATGACCGCATCAGAAGAATGGGATATTTTTGGCCTTCCATGATGAGTGATGCAATCGCGTATGCCCGAAAGTGTGATGCATGTCAAATACATGCGAATTATATGCACCAACCTCCGGAGCATCTGCATCCTTCGGTTACGTCATGGCCGTTTGAGACCTGGGGAAAAACTCTTGTCAAAAATCGTGAAAACTAATAAAATAGACTGGGATGACAAGCTTGGCGCGGCTCTATGGGCCTATCGGACCACGGTGCGCACACCGACGGGAGCAACCCCGTATTTACTGGTATACGGATGTGAAGCCGTTCTTCCATTGGAGATTCAAATCCCATCACTTCGAATTGCCCTCGCGACTCAAATGACGACCGAAGAGCAACATCAGAAGCGCCTTGAAGAACTTGAAAGGCTAGATGAGAAGCGTTTAGAAGCTCAACAACATATCGAATTCTACCAAGCCAGAATCTCTCGAGCTTTCGACAAGAAGGTTCGACAACGAAGCTTCAAAGAAGGGGATTTGGTTCTAGCTGAGAGGCGGCCTATGATCCTTAACTCCAAAAAGAAGGGCAAATTTGAACCCAAATGGGAGGGACCATTCGTAGTAGAGACAGTCTACTCGAGTGGTGCATATCGCCTAGTCACCAAGGACGGCGACCGGCTTATGATGCCGATAAACGGCAAGTTCCTGAAAAAATACTATCTCTAGTATCTTCAGGATAACTAATGTATCAGGAAGTTCCCGGAAGAATACCACATGGGGTATTCTTAGGGATAACCCAATCATTGTAGTATTGATGAATAAGAAATCCACGTTCGAACTCCGAATGTCAGAATGTTTCTTCTTATTATTATAAAAATTCTCTAACTCTTATGAGTTATTTTTGTGAGATAAGATCCAATCCTCTGATAGGTTAATCCTTCCTCACCAAACCATCTGCTGATCAAATTAATCGACGGTGGATTCACCAAAATTTCTATCTGCCAGTCATTGGCATTTCTCAGACTCAACATGTTAGGTCCTAATCACCTAGCGTTAAAGTCTTCCTTTGAGTGATAATACGAGTTGGCACTTTCTTTGCTACCTGTATTCCACTTTCTTTGCTTTCAGGTCAAACCTATAAAAGTTAGGGCCAAAGCCAAATTCCTCTCTCGATTCCTTCCATGAACGAGAGGTCCACTTTCAATTTGAGCAATCAAACCTATAAAAGTTAGGATTGTTCCCGATCTCACTTAGTCAAGCCTACAAATAGTTAGGACTAAGACCGAGTCATTCCTTTTCGATAAACGAAAATCCGCCTTTGTTCCTTTTTCCACCAAACCTATAAAAGTTAGGGTCAAAATGGGGCTTTCCCCTCAATAAATGAGGGATTCTTTTGATTCAAATGACCAATCCTATAAAAGTTAGGGCCGTTTGACCTTTTCCGATTCTCGGAGTGGAGATCCCACTCTTAGTTTCATCTTTTCGGAGTCTGGGAGTGGAGATCCCACCTTGAGTTTCCTTTCCGACTGTAGATAGAATATAAAATTCTTCCTCTTTAGTCCCGGGAGATAGAATATAAAATTCTTCCTCTCCCATTTCCTAATCCGTCTTTATTCTGATAAAAGACACAATTCCCAACTTCTAATCCGAGCACTTGGTGCACGGGGAATTTTATCTCAACTCCTAAATAGAGATAAGTCTACGCCTAACACGCGTTGCCGGTTTAGTCTTTCACCGATTGAAAAAGACACCAAGGTCTACACCTGGGAAATTTTATTCCGAAGCCTAAGTAGGGATGAGTCAACACCTAACACGTGTTGCCGGGTAGCCTATTCCCGTAACAAGGGCAAAGCCTATGTATTCAAAATCATAGCACAGAGTCTAAGAGAATTCACTCTCTCAGCACAACGTCATATGCGGAACGGATTTAGACAATCCGCATGCTAGCCCGATTCAAACGGTAATCGGTAAAGGCACATCAAACCCGTTGAAGGCTGGGGGTTTGCCAAAAATCCCAAAGTCTATGTCTAACACACATTGCCGGTTTAGTCTTTCGCCGATTGAAAAAGACACCAGGGTCTAAGCCTGGGGGATAAGTCGTCGTCTAGTACACGGCGCGGGGTACCTTTTCCCTATAAAAAAAATGGTTAAGTCTATGTATTCAAAGTCATAGCATCAAGTCTAAGAAAAGCAATTTTTTTAGCGCAACGTTACATGTGAGACGGGTTTAAATAATTCACATGCTAGCCCGATTCAAACGGTAATCGGTAAAGGCATATCAAACCCGTTGATGGCTGGGGGTTTGCCAAAAATCCTGTAAATCTTATCATCGGAACCCGTAAATCTTATCATCGCTGGGTTTAAAATAAATGAAGAAATATCATGAAGGAATCAAATGCGGAGTCTCTATTAATAGATCAAGTCAAAGCATACAATAAAAAGCTCGTTAGCCCGAAGGCAGCTGACGGCTAAGAACATGAGACTCTAAACTAGAAAGCCTATCTATATAACTCTGCTCAAGTTCTGCCTGCAGGCCAGCTCGGACGGATTCCTCAGAACTGCTCAAGATCTTCACGGCTTCATTCTTCAGCTTCATCAATCTCTCCTGTGTAGATCCTAGCTTCTCGAGGGCCTGTCCACGAGAATGCTCTACTCCAGCCAGGTCTTCTGCAATGATAGTAATGGACTCCTCGGCGTGCTTCAAGGCCTCCTTCAACCTAGCCACTTCCTCGCGACCGGAATCCAAAGAGTGGAGTAACTCGGCTCTATTTGTATCCTTCCTCGCCACGGTAGCCATCAGTTGCGCAACTGAATGCTCATGTGACTGAAACTCACTGCCGATGGAAGATCTCAGGTCGCGCCACTGTGCCAGCCTATGCTCCATCTGAGAGGACACGAAGAAAGAAGCTCCATTAGCCTTCAATTCCTTCAACTCTCAGATCTCCGACTCCAGAGCAGCAAAATCGGCAATGAAAGAATCAGCTAACCCCGGATACCCTTCTTCTATAAACATCATCATGTGACGAGAAAAGGAACGCCTGAACTGATCAAAACAATATCCTCGATGAAGCAGTTTCTCGATCATGCCGTTAAAAAAGGCGGTAAAAAAGCCGAGGTCTGTACGGAAAATGTCTCTGTCAGGATCGGTATCGGCCAAGAGGGCGCGAACATGCTCATATAGAGATGATCGAGATCCTACAAACAACAGTATGGAAAGTTAAGAGATATCAAATGTGATAAGAAAACTTAAGGGCAAATTCCGAGCATACCAACGCCAGTGGAGGTCCCCTCGGATTGAGGTCTGATAGGCTCCGAGATAACGGCAGGAGTAGTCATGGAGGGTATATCAACACCTGTAGGCAAATCAGTCTCAGAAACTGTAGTGGCATCAGGCACAACGGCTGGTCCTATAGTTACACTTCTTTATTAGTCAAAATGAAAATTTAGACAAATAAGGAGAGTCGGGATGATAAGGTCATCTACATACCTGTAGGTCCATCATCCTCAGGTACACGGGGAATGCCAGGAGTCATAAGAGTATCGGTCCCGGTGGCTGGTCCTATGATTACAC